TGAGCTGTATGAAGAAGGCTAGAGCTGTAACAATGGCGAACGGATGTTCCGCGACAGCCGCGGGCGGCAAATCGATTACAGAAAACCGTTCTTACTGCCCGTCTCCCGTTAAGTTCACATGAACCATTCTAGAATTTTTAGGGGATCAATGTGTGTTCTCTCGCTCTCCGCTACCAGCACTCCATCCCGGACCGCTGTCATATTGCTATCCGTCGTCTTCCTTAGTGACTTCGAACGGAGGTCGCCTACATAGCGTGAAGTTTAGCCTTCTAGCAGGGCTCGGAAACACCAGCAAAAGAGTCACGGTAAGTGTCAAGCTCGACTTTGTGATATTTTGTGTTGAAATGTGTACGTCATTCACCTATTACTTGATTTATTCATCTGTCAGGTTAGCTTTAAGGGCACAGTTCACGATAATTTTAAGGTACCCGTTTTTTCGGAAAGTGGAAGTATAGATTGGGATCAGTTCATTGGTAGTGAAGAAAGCAAGGGAATTCGCCAATTTCGAGAAAAATATGGCTTCTTAAGAGTATGGAAATTAGAGGTTGGACGAGAATGCCATGACGAAATAACATAGAAGGGGTATTGGGACGAGATTTCAGTTATTGCAATTTCGCGAAGAGCTGATTACATAAAGCCAGAACTGTACAGAACTGTCTTTAGCTTCTGCTATGGGTCATAACAAATTGTTTGAACTTTCTACAAGGGTTCGCCTGTGCTCGGTGCAGCCTCTACGATGCCGGTGAAATTCGTCCGAGGATACACACGGGCCAATCTTTAAGCCTTTCTAACTCCCTATATAGGCCGTTTTCCGACCTAATAGTGCCAGATATGGTATACGCGGGGCCTTAAATTCATCCTGTTGGAAAATCTCAGAAACCGTTTTTATCGTGAATTGTGCCTTTAAAAAAGTTCCATATGCACTATGTTCAGTCTGTGGTCTGTCTCATTCATTTTGAGCTGGTCTGTAGTGAAGGTGTCTGAGAGTAGGGAAATTACGAATGGTGGCGAACTCATGAATGATTTAAAAAGCTTCAGAAGTTTCTCAATTCAGAAGTCACTACAT